ACACACACACATACACATACACACACGCACTCCAACACACAGCAGAAACACCTGAGCCTTGGGTTTTGTGTCCCTTTTGTTTTCAATTGTTTGTAGTTTAGATTGAGGCTCGCACTCGTTAAAGGATATGCCGGGGCGTAAGTGTGTGTGTGTGTGTGTGTATCTGTGTGTAGTGTAGTGTAATGTGTACCAGTGCATGTCCTTTGTCAACAAGAACAACAACAACAACATGAAGAAGAAGAAGGCGAACAATAAGCGCTCGACCGTGCAACATTGGCGCGACGCTCCGCACGCGTTTTGTGGAATGGCGTGCGAATTATTGCACCAGGAAGATATGAAATAAAATTTAATGAAATGTTTATAAAATGAAAATGAGTTGCAAACAACAGCGCGATAAACAAAGGGGGACCGAACAACTAGAAGAAGAAGAAGGACTCAAGTCTAAACTTAAAGATTTAAAAAACACACAACAACAACAACAAAAAAAACACAGCTAGAAAACAGAGCTTAAAATTGACATGTAAATGACTATAACAACATAGACAAACATGCGACACGTTTAGAACAAATGCATGTACAAACTTGATTGATTGATGGACTGACCAATTGTTTGATTAGTTGATTGATTGTCGGCGCCACACACACACATGCATACTTACTGACACTGAGCGGCAAAAGTGCGCTCTGCAAGTGGCTAAATAGCTGCCGATGATGATGATGATGATGGCCCCCCAGGTGGCCATTGAAGTACAGGTGGTTCTGGTGCAGCGACAGCTGCTGATGGTGATGATGATGATGGTGGTGGTGGTGCAGCGCGGGCGTCATGCCCAAATGCTGTTGTTGCTGCTGTTGTAGATGTTGCTGATGTGCGTGCTGCTGCGGCAGCAACTGTTGCTGCTGCTGTTGCTGATGTGCGTGTTGCTGCTGCAGCATGAGCTGTTGCTGCTGTTGCTGCTGCTGGTGTTGTTGTTGTTGTTGTTGTTGATGTTGCTGCTGTTGTTGATGCTGTTGATGTTGCTGTTGTGTAGGCTGCAGCTGCAACTGTTGCTGTTGCTGCTGCATGTGTTGCTGCTGACCATATCCTGCTGCTGCCGTCGGCTGCATTGCAGCTGTCGCTGCTGTTGCTGCTGCTGCTGCTGTTGCTGCTGTCGGTGTTGTTGGCAGCGCAACGGCCACTGCAGCGGTTGCTGCTGCCGCTGCTGCTGCTGCTGTTGCTGCTGCTGCCGTTGCCGTCGCCGTGGCCGTGGCTAGAATATGATGATGCGTTGTGGATGAGCGATGCTGGCTTTGTACTGTATTCAAGCTGTGTATGGAGGCGTGCACCGCCGACTGATAGATAATACCGTTATTGGACATTGCCGTCATCGATTGGTGGTGATGGGCGGCATAGGCCGCCATGGTGGGGCCCGGATGGCCGCTGACCGGCTGCACCGCAGCAGCCGCTGTGGCCGAGACGGGAGCCAGCGGCAGCGCACGATAACCGGCCATATATACAGATATATATATCTATTTAAAAAGTTCACTAGATTTTTCAGTTAAAGTTGTCTTTTGTTAGTTCACTGCGCGCTGCGCTAGATGGCGTCTTGGTGCGTTGCAATCTATTTGTTAACTAATCTGCGCGTTTCGCATGTATTTCCTACAAGTTCAAATCTTTGGCCACAATTACGAATTTAAATAAATTTTCTCAGCAATATATTTGAGTTGTGGTCGCATCGTAGATTTTAGGCTTAGTTCTGTTGTTGATAATGTCACTCGACGGCGACCGAGATAAGTCCTTATCCGCGTCTTATCTCGACACACGAGTCAAAAAAAAAAAAATTTCATTTCAAAATTTTCTTTGCATTGCTCCGGCGCACAGCAGCAACTGTTGCTGCCATGTTAGGCTAAAACAATAATTTTTTTTCTTTTCTTTTAGCTTTACTTCACATAATTTCCACAATTTATGTTCTGGGAATCTGTGTGGAGTTTTTTGAGCTTATCTAAACGTATAAATATTTGCTTTACATGAGGCTCGGCATATTTTTTGCGGCCTTGAACCAAAGTTCAATTCATAATTCTGTTGTGTGCTGGACAAAATTCATTCCAAAAAAAAAACAATTATTTGCACTCATGTAAAACTGTCAACTGGCATGTGATAAAAGTAACTGGAGATTAAGCGCAATATACAACTAGCTTATGATTATTGTAGGAACTATTAATATACACGATATTTACAATGTAAAACTCAAAAGTTAGCTGACAGCTACTGCTACATTTGACTGACAATTAGTTCAAGATTTGACAGCCTAATATTGAAATTGGAATCGGTAAAGATTGCATTCAGCAGCTTAAACCAGATTAATATCTGTCAGATTTTGAAATGTTTTGAATTAATTTTGCTTTAAATGAAGCTTTCTAATTATTTTCATATATTCACTTTTTCTCTCATCACTTTTATCTCACAGTTGATTAACTTCTTATACTTTACAGTTCTGATTCTAATAATTATTTTTTCTGCTTTGGCAGTTGGATGACTTTGAAGCTTAAACACGTATGGTAAATATTAACTTCTACAAATAAAAAATGTTCGGAAAGTATAAAGAAATCTTACATATTGCATTCCTATTCTCGCACATTTTTAAATTCTAACATATTTCATTTTTTTGTGTATGAAATTTCTAAAAAAAAAACTACTAAAATTTGTCATTAGAGATTGTACGATTTTATATCCATGTTTTTTTTTTGTAAAAAATAATTTTTAAAATCCAAAAATCCTTTTTTTTTTGGAAACCCATATTTTGAAAATAACTTTTTGCAGACTTAGATTGAGTTTTTAATTCATATACCTTTAATTCAAATAACTATGTCACATTGTATATATAATTCATATATCTAGATCACAGTGATTTACGAAATTTTGATTAAAGTCAATTTCAAATAAGAGAAGAATAGTAAACAATTTCTCGAGTAGCAAATCTTAAAAGCTCTTCACATTTAATCATTAACTTATTGTTAATAACTAAATTAAACCTGCATAAAATTGCAAATTCGACTTTTTATGATAGCAATAAACATTTAATTTTAATATTTATACTGGAAAAATATATCACAAATTCGGGGCCCTGCTGCCTCAACATTCAGTTAAAAAATGACTAAATTTATGAACTTTTGAAGCAAATGACACCAAGTTAACAGCAAATAAATTTAGACACATAAAACACATAAAAGGACTTAATGTCTATATTGAATAACAGTTAAAAAACACCGATAACAACACCAATATATATATATATATATATTTATAATTTATCTAAAGATAATACACATAAAGACATTAACAATTTCTAGTTACATTCAGATTGGAGAATGTGGAGAATGTGGTTTAAATAAGCAGAAAACACCAATTACAGTGGGAAACATTGACACAACAACGTAAGTAATTAAATAAATACGAGAGGTGGAAATTACAGCTTAAAATGAACAGTTAATACACACACACAAACACACACCAACAGATAGAGTGAGGGAACGAGATAAACAAATTACATAAACAAACGTGAAACCTGAATGCTTGCAGCCAGGATCAGCGGTTGTTAACGCAAGCAGCTGGCGATGCTGTTGATATTGACAATAATAAATATTGGCATATTGCTGGCAATGCGACGTGAACGCACAAATACGTAAGACGTAACGTAACGCACAACGGCGACAATCCCGTTGCGTTGCGAACACGACACGAGCACGTCCGACACGTTTGCCCAAGGTCTGCAAACTGAAGCGCTGCCAGCAGCAGCAGCCGCCGCAGCGGCAGCGGCAGCGACAGCGACAGCAGCCAACAGGCGCGACAGCGGCGAGCTCTGCCTGTCGTCGGCTTGGCAATGAACATCGGCTCGACACGAAGCCGCTTCGGGCGTTGGCTGTGTGCATTCAGCTAGGATTCGTCGGTTTGGCTGGCGGCAGCGTGCTGCGCGTGCGAGCGAGAAGGCAGCGCGAAAGCGAAGCGGCAAGAGGCCAACGCATACGATGAATGTAGTTGTGTGCGTGACGGAGTGAGTGTGAGTGAGTGAGTGAGCATGTATGTGTGTGTGTGTGTGCTTGCCTGCAAGCACAGTGGTGCCCAAGTCGGGGCATTAGGCAGGCAGCCAGCGTGTGCAACGGTTCGTATACGTTATGTCCGCCTGCCACAATTAGCCTAATTCCGTCTTAATGCCCAGCCGCTGTGTGGGTTGGTCGACAGCACCTACACACACACACACACACACACACACACACACACACACGCAGATACACACACCCACTACACACACACAGGCGGACGTAGTGTAACATTTCTATTGCACAAGAATAACTGTGACAGCAGTTAGGGGTTGTTCCGGCCGCATTAGAGGAACCAGCACCTAGCCAACCAGGACCTGCGCACTGCCACATTGCAACGGGACACGCCGCGCGCCTAAACGAACTGGCGCCTATCCCAAAAGTACAAAAACAATGCAAAAGAACAAAAAAAAAGAGCAAACCAAATAAACACAAAAATCATATAAAAACAAATGCAAAGCTATGTGGTGCACGTGGCACGTTGCACAGCTATGCACAGTGGTGCCAACTAATGGAGGAAGGTGTGCTGAGTGCCCCGTTAGGAGTCGCACACCTGGCTTAGCTGGCCTCCAATCGGGCCAGTGGAATTTTTAATCAAATGCTGCACGTGTGAGGCACGAGACGCCAACGCGCAAATATGTGACACGCACATATTGCACATACGACATGTTGTGCTGCTGCTGCAGCTGCCAAGAGTTTAACACACATTTTAATTAATAAATATATATTATATAAATATTATTAAATTTAAGCTATTTGTCCATTAAATCCATGTGCTCTATTGCCAGAGTATGCCCGAGATTTGATGGATGTCATGAAGAGCTTCAATTGAAACTAATTCTCAGCTAAACCAAATGCAAGCTATCCATTAAGAGTTGATCGAAAAGATTTCTTTATTACATTAATTAGAGAATAACTCCGAGAAATATATAGATACAAATATATTCGACTAGTTTAAGAAGCAGCATACCCTTATGAAACTCGCTTAAGCAGGTTTATAAACTTGCCGTTAACTAATCCAACAAATCCACGCTCGAATTAACATTCACAACAAGATAACAATCTTAATGGAAAGTAAATGTATATTTATTTTAGTTAAATTGAACTGCATGCAAGACAAATCGATCAGTCAGTTTTCAGAGCAACAGAAATGGAGGTGAATAAATTGATCAGTCTGTGGCTGTTGTGGCTGAGCATAGTAATTGGCTTGGTAAGTGCCGGGCAAATCTAGAACGAGAGCAAATGCTGAACACAATTACACTTAACAGGTGGAAGGCAAATTCAAGAGCCTGTCTTGCAGCAGCTTTGACCAGCAGTTGGGCAACTTCAGCAGGTGCGATATTAAGGCTTTGAGTCGCACCCGAAACACAATTGATATTACCTACGATGTCTTTGGCTCGTTCAACTCTGCGAATGTAAGTCATTTGTAAATATTTAACCTGCGGTTAATTCTCAATGTCTGCTGTTTACCTTTCAGGTGCAAATTGCCTTCTTCAAGCGCGCCAATGGCTGGCGTCCATTCCTCTACGACTTCACGATAAGCGTGTGCAAGTTTCTGCGTAGACCCTACCATATCATTGCGATAATCGCCTTTGAGTATCTGAAACCCTTCACCAATTTAAATCACACCTGCCCCTATAAGGTAACTTGTCGCTCAATTCATCTATAGTACAAATTATTATTATTTTTCCATTGCAGCCTGGCACCTCGGTAACTATCCGCAATTTCGATCTGAATGTGGATGCGTTGCGCTCTCGTTTTCCCTTTGAGAATGGCGAATACGCAGTTAGCGTATCTTTTCTGATTAAAAACAACTTGAAGCTATCGATAAACGGTTCGATCTATCATTTTAACTACAGGGAGCCCTAACCTAACTGTATGTAGTCCAAATATAATTGAGCATTTTAAAGGGGGAGTTTTTTCTAAGGGGTTGTTCTTTAAATATTTCACCAGCAAATGTGTAAAATTCGTGTAAAACGGACGTATATCACAATTCTGCTGAGCGCCTTTAAGAGAACATTTTAATCATGAAACGTACAACTTTGCGGAATCGTGCATCTTTACGGATTCTTACTTCCAATTTGCAAGCTTTAGTCATTTGGACTTTGTCACTTCCTAGTGGAAACTTTTTAATTTCAAATGAAAGACCAAACTTTCACAAAGATTGCACTGGCTGCTAGCGTGGAAGATTTGACTAAAATACCAGGCCAGCAGCATGTGCAAATAGCAAAATTCATTGCATACCGCAAGGGGCGCCAGTATTTGGCTGAATTGCCGGGCGAACAGCAATGCCCAACAAGTGACGAAATTTAATTTTTTTTGATAAACGAAAGGTAATAAAACTTGCAAATAAAAGGACTTTCAGTTCATTTTACATTCTCCTACAATTTCAGCCGATTTGAGGACAACTTTGCCCTATTCGGCTGTGATCCCACAAGTTTGCTTTCCCTTATCCCCTTGCCGCTAACAAAGGCCAACTTCCGGCGTAAATGAGGCCACGGGCTCTGAACTACTGCAGCCTGCTCGCTATTTTACCAGGTAAGATCATAAGTTGAGAGTCTTTCAGTTCATTTTACATTATCCTATATTTGCAGGCGATTGGAGGATAACAAAATCTGCAACTTGTTGGGACGGTTTAGGAGCAACAACTGCGGACGGGTTCCGAACTACTTCGATTATTATTTTTTTAATTGGCTCTCCAATATGTGGAATACAATTAGTGTAATCCTTAGATTCTTGAATGCTGATCGATGCAGTTCGTCCTTATGATCCTAATGCACCAAGCCATTTGAAAGTCCACAAGGATATGGCCGAGCTATGACAATTTCCCTTAAAAGGACATAAATCTCTAAATTAGCCACAACATGACCATTTTAAGGACTATCACGATGTCCTTTGGTGAACCAAACGTCCGCATCGTCCCAATTTGGAATATACTTAGTAATGGACAAAATTCCTTTAAACAGTCCAGAAAAGAGGACCTTTGTCTGTAGAGAAAATATGCCATAGCTTGGGTGTATCCTTGCAGATAGTGACAAGTCCTTTTTTAAATATCATGTAGAGATCAGAGCTATTAACTATCCAAATTGCATTGAAATCGTCCTCGTAGTTTCCAAATTTTGGCTATTTGTCTTAAAAGGATATTAATTCAAAAATCGGTCATAACTTGACCATTTTAAGGACTATCGAGATGTCCTTTAGTCAACCGATAGTCCTTATCCTCCCGCCTTAGAGTTAACAAATAGATAGGAGAAAGTCCTTCAAACAGCCATGAAAAAAGGACATTTGCCTTGCATTTGAATATATGCTATATATAGGCCGTGTCCTTGCGAATCCTTACAAGTGTTATGTCAAACAACCCGTAGGTACTAGGACTATCAACTGGCCAAAGGACATCAAAATCGTCCTTGTGGTTTCAGAGATATGGCTAGTTTTCTCCCAAGGACATTTTGTTTTTAGCCATAGCTCGGCCAAATCCTTAAGGATATCGGAAGGATATACCTTTTTGAGATCGTCAGGAGCAGGACTATGGATTGGCATTCAAAGATTTTCATATTTCGACAAAAATTTTCACCAAAATTTTTCCTAGGGGTTTGGTCACAAAATTGGCCAAAACCGAAAATATCCGGGCTAACTTCGCCATTTGAAGGACTATCGGGATGTCCTTTGGCCAGCAGATAGTCCCCACCCTCCCATTTAAGAAATTACAGCCCAAAGGACGAAAGTCCTTCAGACAAAAAAGTTTTAAGGACAATTTTGGGTAAAGAAAATAGGCTCTAACTCGGCCATATCCTGGAGTATCCTGGCAAATCATGTGTCAAAAAAATTGTATTGACTAGGACTACCAACTGGCCAAATTGCATCAAGATCGTCCTTGTAGTTTCCAAGATATTAAGGATTTTGTGATTTTCACTCTTTTTCGGCTTATTTCCGGGCGCCCCGAGACTGAAAATTTACTAAGTACATGATTCTTAGATGACCCCATAATGTTTTGATGCAGATCGATGCTGTTGCTCCTAAAGATCCTAACGCACCATGTCCTTTGAAAATCTGCAAGGATATGGCAGAGTTATGGCTGTTTTTTTAACCCAAAATACTCTATATAATTTTTAACTTTTTTCATTCAAATGTGATTTTATCCTTACAGATTGATGATTTCAAGGAACAGCAATCGATTCCAAGGACTTTCACGAATCCTACAAGGATATACATTCCAAGATCTGACTTTTTACACGCTAGATATAGCCAATTTATGTAAAAATGAGCTACAAATGTTATTTATGCTCGCAACTGTTAAATTTCAAGTTTTTAATAAGAACTACATTTAAAAAACAAGTTTTAAATATTTTTTACTGATCGTTAAAAAATCTATTGCATACCCGCAAGGGGCAGCGGCTGGCTCTGGAGATTTTTCTAAAATTCAGCCAAAATACCAGGCGAACAGAAATGCCAAGAAGGTCGCCAAAGAATTTTTAAGCTGCCGAAAAATTTCATTGCATACCCGAAAGGGGCGCCCTCGCCGCCGGCTGGGTCGCCAGATTTGCACCAAAATCGGACTGAAGTACCAGGCGAACATAAATGCCCAGCAGGTCGACGAAAATTTCCGAATAAAAATTTCGTTGCATACCCGAAAGGGCAAAATGTTACTCAATTTTAAATGAGTTATGTTAAGTAGCAGATCATGTTAATTGAGTGCTGTAAGCTGCGGCTGTTCAACAACAGCCGCTGCTGCAGCTCTGTAAAGGGTCTGCTGAAAGAAATAACATACATGTTTTTGGACCATTTCGATGCAAATTTCGCAGGGATCTGCATTTTTAGGTTCCCGAGGACTATATCAATGGTATGGTATAACCAAGGATATGCTAGTCAACTAAGAATCATTAAGGGGGCGTGGCTGTTCATAGGGGCGGCTAAAAGAAAAAGCATACATATTTCTCGACTATAATTCGTTCCTGTAGGTTCACCAGGACTATATCTATGGTATGGCATGACCAAGGATATGAATGTCAACTGTGAACCAACGAGGGGGAGTGGCTACAAGGAAAGTTGGAGAGGAAAAGGGGTGGAGGGGAGCTGAAAGCATACAGTATTCGTATTTCTCAACAGCGCAGTGTCAGCTCCAAATGTTACGCGAGCATAATCGGCAGTTGAGTTATTTTGTCTTCCCTTTCGACTCAAAGTCAGCTCCCAGCAGGGTAGACTGGAGTGATCTTGCTATCTCGCTCTGCCTGATACAGTTATATATATGTAAGACTCTCCTTTTTTGTTCGGCTACCAAAGCACATTCGCTAATCTATTTCGCTCGTTTGCTTCGATGTGGTTGTTGTTGCAATAAAAAAAACAAGCGAGAAGCTCCGAAATAGTGATGCGTGAACAGCGTCGATTTTAGATGTAAAATTTGGCTGAAAAATACAAAATCCGCCATAACTTAGCCATTTTATTCAATAGAATGGTATTAGCTCGGCTAATTAAGGTCCGATCTTGGAAATATATATATTTCTGGACTCGTGAGTGTTTATAGAAATAAATGAAATCTAATAAAATTCAGAAGAGATAGCTAATTTTTTAATATTATAACAGAAATGTTCCTAGATCGGCATTTATTTATAATATACTAAACTAAATATCTAAAGAATATACTTCGGCTTTAATTATGATGCCGCCAGATTTTAAGGTAGAATAAAGTGCCAGCTCTATCTACCAGGCGCACATGATCGCCAGCCGTTGATTGCTGTGATCTGCAAATGCCTTCTACTTTGATTTAGAAAAGCGAGCACACAACACGTGCAGCACGATAGCATGCTGTCTCTGTCGCGCTGCTAGTTATTTGCCTGCCTGCGCTAAGTATGTACAAATGTGCGCAAAGGTCCGCTTGGTGGACTAACTGTTATTTCTTCCATTCTCTCTTGCTATTCTCCCTACGTTACTTGTACTTTGCACATTTCGCTGGTTGTTATTGTAATAGAATGAGTGGAAAAAAGTATACGCAAACTTACGTGAGCTTTAATAATAATCTCTCATAAGTCTAGCCTTTTTGACTGGGGCGCAATTTAACTTACATATTTTTTCAGTGATGCATTAAAAGGTAATTGAATATTTGATGGCAATTGAAATAGCTGATCAGTAGAAGTTGAATAAGCATAATTTAACAAGAAACAGTCTTAATTTATATTATATCGCGTTTTTCTGTATAAAATTGAATAGTAATGTATTATATTTAAATTTGTATATTAACTATAAATTCGTTTTACATTTACACAAAAACAACAACGACACTCTTTAATCGCTACGAAGCCACGCACCGACACGCGTTCGACTTAAGGTAAAGACCGTCACTAAATACCAGGCGCACAGAGGCGACGGCTGTTGATCTGCGAAAGTCTTCACTTTGACGAAGAACTTGAGAGAGAGAGAGAGAGAGAGAGAGAGAGAGTGCCGTTTGCTTTGCGCTCTGAGCACATGTGGATGCACACACGTGCACACACAGCAGCATTAACTGTCGTTGAGTCTCAATACATACATACAAAGCACACATATGCATGCATGTACATATGCATGTAAATATGTCTGAACAACTGTAATTACACCCTGCACGCTTTGAAAGTGCGTAAGACAGGGCATATTGATTTTGAGCAAGTGTATTGTGTGGTATTTAGTCATAATTGATGATAATACTTAATGGGCTCGGAGATGCCTTCTTTCCGCCTGTTACATACATTTGCCCAAACACATCATACCCTTTTTACCCAATTACAATGGGTTCAGGGTATTTAGTCAATCGAAATAATATAAATACAATAATCATATCTAAGCCTTAAAAGAGCCCAATCCCGGATCCAGCCATCATAATCAGCGGAGGTATTTGCGATTGAGGTGTAGGTTTTGCAGGTAACAACAATTATTACCCGGCTTTGAACGGACCCAGCGAATTTTCTACAATGTCAAACAAACCGCAATTCTTTGGAACACATTGCAAATGATAAATTTCATGCAGCTAAAGGAAAGATCATGAAATAAATGTCTATAAATCGAGCTGTGATGTGTACCCAAGGGAAATAGTTGGATTCATTAATTTGTTTGCCTGTCGCAACGCTTTGTGTGTGCAGCTACATGTTTGGACTAAATTTGCTAAATGTGCGCCCAGTTTTAGGGGGCGGGGCTCAAAAACAAATCAGGGCCGTGCAAATACGGTCACACTCAAAAGTGTGCAACAAAAAGTTGCAACAATTCCAATTAAAGCAAAGAACTTGCGACAAAATAAACCAAAAAAAAAAACATGAAGAAGCACAATCCAAATAGATAGAACTGTGGGCGTGGCAGTGAGGCAATTAGGCACAGGTGAAAACTAATTAGACGCCCACACGGCCAAGTGTGTGTGTGTGTGCGAGTGTGTGTGTGTGTGTGTGTGTGTGTGTGTGTGTGTGTGAGTGTGAAGTGGTGCCAGGCGCCGGTCCATCATATTTTGCAATTTAACTCGCAGCAAAGAAAAAATACAGTGCTTCAGTCGAGTGTGCTCGACCAGCAAATACCCTGCGGTAAAAGCGTCTAATTGCCATTACAAATGAGTTAAGTTCTTTCTAAACAAAAACACACACACATACATGCACGCACGCCATTTGTGTGTGCTTCTTCTTACCCGCATTATAAGAAATTAACGTCGGTGCTTGTTGTCCGATCGCTATGCAAATTTCGGGGCATAAGCATGATGCCCAAATGTGTGTAAATAAAATTCGAAAATCCGAAATTGTTTGGAGTTATTTATAAATTGAAATAGTTGTTATATGCATAGACTACATATATAAGAAACAACAAACTAAGCTTGGACTTAAATAGTTCTTGACTCTTGAAGAAGTTTTAAATCTGGAAAATATAGCTCTAACTCTCGACTTTTGCCTGCTTACCTTGCTCTCCATTGAGGGTAGTTTACCAAGCGAAACCTCTCTATCTAACACTCAATTTATGCTTTCTAATCATGTTTAGCTACTGCTGCCTGTTGAAGGTAGTTCTCCAACCAAGTTTACATGTTCTAGTTCCTATAATTCTCGAGAGTGAGGCCTTCGAACAAACTATGCCTCCTTCCGGCTGTTGCCCTCATAAGCACAAAACCCATATACCTCTCTCAAACACATGCAATGTGCACAGGGTATATAGAAAAAAAACTAAAAAGCAAAAGAAGCTTCACGTTTGCCCGCTTCCACTTTTTTTCGTTGCCTTTTGCAACACTGGCCGCGCACGCTCTCAAGTTTCACAACAGAAACGGAAATGCAAACGTTTTTTTTGTTCGTTTTTTGCCGAAAAACAAAGAGCAAAAGTTTTCGTCCATTTTTTTTTTTTTTTGTTGTTTCTCTTGGCAATTATGTGCTCGAAAAAAAGCGCACCCGAAAAATGATAATGAAGCCAGAAGCCAAAAGGATTTTCGAAGAAAATCAACGAAAACAGAAAAAAACAAAAAAAGGAACAACACAAATAGAAAACTGCCAAAAATAAAAGTTTGTTGCTTTTTTTTTTTGTTTTTTTTTGTGGCAACTCGCATGACGCGCACATGCACATGCAAAATGCAAAAGTATCTCATAGATACATTTCGGTGGGGGTCGCGCCTGTGCCCGCTGTTTGTTGGTAATTTGTTTAATTTGCTTACCTTCAAAAAAAAGAAGATATAGAATAAAAAAAAACAACAACAATAAAAAACCGGCGTAGGCAAAACTGCTGCCCAACTGACTGACTAAGAAATACCCTGCAAAGGGCGAACTCTTTTGAGTTTGAGTCTTATAGAAATCTCTGATAAATATAGATCTAAAGTATTATATATTTTCATATGCTTATTAAACAATTTAATATATTATTTAGCTATATATACATGTATTTCCTGTTCTGTCTTGAACTCTTTTAATCAACCTAGGAAACACTTTTCTTGACAGCTTCCCCCACTTCGATATACCCTCGCCTCTTGTAAAGGGGCATCAAAAGAAATAGAAATGCCAGAGCTATGAATTTTTGGCGCTTTTTGAAGGTTGGGCGCCTTTTAGCTAATGGGCTTCGGGTAGGGCTATGATAAAGCCAAAAACAAACTAAAAAAAAAAAAAACAACAGCAACAATATGGCCTCAACTAAGCTGCAACTAAATTAAAATATTTAAAATTTTAGCCAAAGTTTTATCAATAAAATGGAAACCTGCCTGCCAGTGTGTGTGTGTGTGTGTGTGTGTGTGTGTGTGTGTGTGAGGCGTTTGCATTTGTTGACTGCAAGTCAGATAAGTATCTCACGGATGTCTGCATTCGGCACAGGCACACATGTGATATGCATAGATACGAAATGCACTGAG